ACAGTTCGGTTAACCAAAAATCGAATCAAACTCGAATCAAATAATGTAATTTGATTCGAGTATAAATTAAAAAATGTACAATTTATAACCAAATTGAAAAACCCCAAATAATTTCGGTTTGGTTTGGTTTTTGAAAATGGTTCGAATCGAAAACCATTTTTTTAATTCCTAATTCTAATTTTTAAATTTGCAAGTCTTAACCCTAAGTCGGCTCTTTCCTTTCGACTTAGCAAACTCTTTTGTTTTGACTTAGCAAACTCTTTTGTTTCATGTCATCTTGCACTCTTATAGTCTCACTCTTCTTCTCAACTCTTTGTTATCCACTCTAGTCTAGTCCTCTTCTAGAGTTCTAGTCCTCCAAGGTCTAGTCCTCTTCCTTCGTCAAGCATGTGTCTTTCAAGATCAGTCTCTTCTTTTTTTTTTTTTTTTTTTTTTTTTTTTTTTTTTTTTTAACCGATAAGTGATAACAACAATGTATTAGGCATAGATTAAGATTTTTTTTGGATTCCTTAGTGAGTCTGTGATATGGTTTGTTCTACACTGTGGTGTTGTCTTGGAAGCCTTGTCTTGAAATGTGTCCTATTGGCATCCGTTTTCCTTTCCGGCTACTTGGAGTTTGTGGAACTTCTTCTAGCATATAGTGAGTAGGTTTTCTTAGGCTAGAAAAAGAAATAATCATCATGCACTTGTTATAGATCCATTGTGGATAGTTGGATCTTATCTTTACCACCTTCTCTAGGAATCTTTACTTTGGTGATCAAGTAGTATATATAAGTACAAGAATAGCCTTGAGACATAGACACTCCATGCCTATAAGTAACAGTAGAAATTCTAAACCTCCAGTACCTTCTAATTTAATCTTTTCTAATAGATGATGCTATTATACATAACATATACTATTATGTAAGAGGCACACATGCTACTTTGGTATTTATATTCACCAAGTTATTCCACGTGTTGTCTAATCTTTAATCCTTTATTCTTGAAACAACTATGGTAGTACATACCATGTCATTGATCCTTGGATTCTCAAGTCGTAATTGATCTTACTCCAATCACACTCTATTAGTGGTGAATGATATCCAATCTTTCGTTGAGACTTATTTATGGCCTTTTCAGATTAGTCCGGTACAAAATAATCTTAATTTCCTTTTTCGTTCCTCTAATTATTTGGACGAGTGTCATCTCTCGTTTATTATGATCTACACCCTTACTAAATGCTACAATCTTTCTTTTCAATGTCGGAGAACACGGTCCAAGCATGCGGTAGATCATAAGTTTGTGACTAGGTTGAGTAGGATTCACACCTATAAGTGGAAAAAAAAATCATTTTTTCCCACATAATAGTTTCGACCAAGAAAAATACCCGAAGCATTTCCATAATGTTTTTGTTTCCCTTTCCTAGGAAGTACCATTGTTTGCCATTGTTATTACAAGTTACCACCGGAAGAAATTTCCATATAAGAGAGTTAGTATAGCCTTCTCATATGTTTGGAAGAGATGATTCTATGTAGAGTCAAACTAAAAGGAGAACTCAAATTCTATAATGAAATGGTAATTCAAATGTGAGTTTGTATCATAATTTCGATGTATCATGTTATCCTATCCATTTTTTTCTTTTTCTTTCTCTTTAGGAAATCAAAACACCCGATGACTAGTTAGAAAAATGGTATTGGCTATAAATTTTTTATAATCCGATGAAAACATATAAGAGGTATTTCTTGTAGAAACTTTTATAACCTTAAGAATAAATGTAGCCCTAATGTTGCTTCGGTTTATGATAAAATGTATCAATAAAATAAATCTTTAGATTTTTACTAATTCATATAGGTTTGGTTTCTTTTCGGTAATTTTAACCCCAACATATTGAGTATTCCAAATGTTATAAAAAAAAAATCTAGACTCACCTAGGTTGTGCATAAAGCTTATCGGGCCTCTATTATATATTATCTTTCAAAATTAGCTTTTGTGCCATCACTCGTTTTGTTTTATTCAGTATGGATAGACCTTTCATCAATACTAGGTAATAGAATCCGCCTATATTTGATCGGTGGTTATTTTAGGATCATCCGGATCCAAAAATGAAGTTCCATTCCATATTATGCTACCAACTTAGCAACTTGTGTATATTTATTATGTTTTCTTGATTATTTAACGGTGTGAAGCTTAATACTCTTTTGTCTTTGTGTTTATGTAAATGTCGCAATCTCAATCCGAAGAGATAAATTATGAACATGTGGGTTCAAGCAATCCCAATACACAATCAAGTGGAGCTCCAACTCTAAGTAACACTCAATAAGATGGCAAAAGAAAGAAGAGAAAATCATTAAAGCCAAGATCGATGGTGTGGGACCATTTCATAAAGTTTAAAAATGACAATAAAGACATGAAGGCTAAATGCAACTATTGTGTCAAGGTATTTGCTTGTAATCCTTAAAAAAATGGGACAACCTCACTTAGGTCTCATGTTTTGACTTACAAAAAAAAAAAAAAACCCTTATAGTTGTATTGACTCTACATAAACTCAATTAGACCTTAGAAGGCTTAAAGTAGGAGAAAAAATTCTTAGTATATGGAAGTTTGATCAACATTTTACTAGAAAGGATTTAGCTGAAATGATTATTCTAGATGAACTTCCATTTAAGCATATAGATGGCGGGGGTTCAAAATTTTTTTACCTAATTTGCAACCTAGATTCAAACTTTCATCTCGTTTTATGATTTCAAGATATTGGTATCGACTTTATTTAGATGAGAAAATAAAGTTGAGCAATTTTTGAAACAAAATAGTAAAAGAATTAACTTCACTACGGACACATGAATATCTATTCAAAGAGTCAATTACATGTGTTTAACAACTCATTTTATTGATAGTAATTGGAAGTTGCATAAAAAGATTTTGAATTTTTGTTTGATTGATAATCATAAAGGAGTGGATTTAGGTATTGCCATTGAGAAATGCTTGATTGATTGGGGAATTGAGAAGGTTTTTAATGTTACGATTGATAATACAAGTTCGAATGATGTGGCAACTAGGCACTTAAAAGATGTGATTAAGAATTAGGGTTATATCATCTTAGATGGAGAATTCATTCATATGAGGGGTATGGCACATATTTTAAATCTAGTTGTTAATAATGGGTTAAAACATCTAATCCTTTGTTCATTCATATTTGATCGATCGTTAGGTTTGTGAGGCAATCTCCAGCTAGGTTAAGAAGATTTAAGGAATGCATTCAACTTGAGAAAATTGATTCTAAGTGTTTGTTACAGCTAGATGTCACAACTAGGTAGAATTTAACATATTTGATGTTAGAGTCGATTCTAAATTTTGAGAGAGCTTTTAAGAGATATGAGCAAATTGATCCTTTTTATAGGAGTGAATTTGATGTAGATCTTGGTGATAATATTATTGGGCCACCTAATGTTGATGGTTGGAAGACTTGTAAGAAGATGGTGGGCATGTTGAAATTTTTTTACAACCTTACTTTGCGTATTTCGGTTTCTTTGTATGTGACTTCAAATATATAATTTTTAAAAAGATTTATGTGCTTGAACATGTTTTGAAAAAATGGCAACGAAGTGAGGATTTGGATGATTTTGTACTGACCAATAAAATGAAAGAAAAGTTTGAGAAGTATTAGGAGGATATTAAGAAAATGAACAACTTGATTTATATTGCAATAATACTTAATCCTAGGAATAAACTTATATTTATTGAATTTTTAATCAAGCAAGTGTATGGTGATTTGGAGAGTCAAAATATGTCAAATATTGTGAAGGAATCTATATGTGCCATGTATGATTTCTATTGTTGTTCATCATCTTAAGATGAAATTGGCCAAGGAGTGGGAGTCGAGGAATAAATGTGGATTATGCAAATGAAGAAATGATTGATGAAGAAGAAGCTAGAGTTAAAATAGAGATAATGATGCATTTTGAAAAATACAAGTATGATATTGGTGGTGGAGGAAATAAAATGAAGTTGGACAAATATCTTAGTGAAAGTGTTGAAAATAATAGTTCTTATTTTAATATTTTAGAATGGTGAAAAACCAATTCTCCTTGGTTTTCCATCATCTCACAAATGGCTAGGGATGTATTGGCAGTTCTTGTTTTTACGAGTCTCTTTAGAATCAACATTTAGCGAGTGGAGGAAGAGTTCTTGATTGCTTTAGGAGTTTTTTAACTCCTAGCTTAGTCGAATCTCTTATATGTTCTCAAGATTGGATTAAAAATTCATCGACGCCAATTATTGTTGAAGAAAATTTGTAAGATGTTGAGAAAATGCAAGATGGTAATTTCTATAACTCTTATCTTTTCATTTGTTATTTCTTTCCTCTATATTAATGTTAAAGGGTTAATTTTTTTTTATCTTATATTTTTCAAAGTTACCAATTGCCACTTACCTCTACCGCAAATGTTTGATGGGTTGATTCCTCGATAGTGTTTTGGCTTTTTGAATGATATGTGTAAGTTATTAAGTTTCTAAGTTTGAATTTTTTCTTATATTGCTTATGCATGTCCGACTTTCGCTTATCAATGCTACTGCCTATTGACCTATTGTAATTAAATTTTCATTACACATATTAGGGCTATCCATTGGATGTCCGACGGTGTCCAAGACTCCAAGCAAGTAAGTGATACCGTGGGAGGAGGCTTAAGGTTGTCCAAGGCTACAAGCAAGACTCTTTATTATGGGTAATTTTCTTTCTAGTTTTTGAAAGTGTAGTAATTTCTAATTTGGTGCATTATCTTTGTTCTATGTGTCATATTTTGGTATGTTAAATTGTTGATGAATATGTCTCTTTTACCTTCTTTGAAGTCTTAGTAGTCAAAGTCAAGTAGGTTTTAATTCATCTTGAAGGTTATAAATACTACCATACTTTGCTTTCCATATTTGTAATTTGCTTGCGTTTAGTGCTTCTAGATGAATCTGTCCATATTTGTTGAATGTAGTCAAAGCGGGATTGTTGAATGTTGAATATTGAATGTTGAATGTTAAATGTTGGATGTTGAATGTTGCTTTCCATATTTCCATATTTGTTGAATCATGAATGTTGTATCTCGTCCATATTTGCTATGTCCGGACTGCGGTGCATCCGGTTCTACTCTACCTAGTGCCTTTTGGTGCTTATGTCTTCTTCCTTATGCGAGATGAACTAATGGAACCATTTGGGTTTCTATGTTTAATAAACTATGGCGTAGAGAAATCTCTTCGTTGCTAGGTTCACAAACTACCTATTCTTTGTCCTTGCTAGAGTCATTTTTGTTTTGTTAGATTGGTTTCCATGCAGATTGTATTCAAGTGTATAAAATTAGGAAGAGATAATTAGGGAGGAAAATCCATGCAGATTTTGTATAGTATATTGTAATGACTTTTAATGAAGCAATATGAGCATTTTGGTCTATGTGTTGAGATATACATACTAGAAGGGAGGAGAATGGTGTAAATTAAGCTATGGCATAGAGAAATCTCTTACCGATAGGTGCACTAACCGCATATTTTTTGTCCCTACTAGAGTTACTTTTGTTTTGTCATATGGTTTCCACGACTTAATTTACAAATATGATGTGTACAAAGGGGCGAGGGTGATTGTATTTTGAGGGTTGATTTTGTAACAAGGACGTTTACTGATTTGTATATTGGATGAGATAGACTCTTTTTAGGTCAATGTTATTAACTTATTATAATTTAGAAACTTTGTCATTAACTTCAATGTGTATCCGACAACCGGAGACGGATGCTTGAAGTTCTACTCTTGCTAAAACGCCAATGGATTTTTTGGTCTCGATAAACAAAGATGGCAATGACGAGTAATGCGACATGTCTGGCGACTGACGATCGATTACAAGAAAATTAAGGATCACTTGAGATTTGAATGTTGATAACAAATTTGCATGTGAGATTACCTTTTTCATTGTTTTACGAGATTATCTTTTTATTGTTTTTATAACTATGGCAATAAGAGTTGGCGATATTAATATGACATTGCTTTTGAGTTTTGAATTATAGACTAGGGATATATATATATATATATATATATATATATATATATATATATATATATATATATATATTCACAACAACAAAAGTTTAGTTAAAATCGAATTATTTCGTTATTAAACCAAAATAATTCGATTACAAACCAAATTAATTTTGGTTTTTATTTTTTTTTAATTCGGTTAAAAAAAAATCAAATCGAATTAAGATTAATTAAACCATTTAACCATTTATTCACCCTTAGTTATTCGGACTCTATCTATGTCGAAAATACAAGAAACATCAGGATTCACAAAGGTTGGCTTTTTCTGTGGAAATAGCATGCAAATACCATTTCCTGGACTGCATTACTTTACGACTCCCGTGACGAAGAGGAAGGTCGAAAATAACGAATGGCGTTTATATGTATCTGGTGTAGGATAAACATGCCGATCAGAGTCAGAAAATGAAATTATAACTTGAAATTAAGATTTCCCATTTATGATTTTAAAATTCAACTTGCATTGATTTGGACATTATTCTTTTTTGCCCAAATAGTCAAGGCAATGGTTTCGTCAATGATTCTTTTCTCACTGATGTGTTATATGTGTATTTCTACATTCGATCGGTATATATACGTAGGATTTTGTAAACATAATTTTTTTTCAAGAATTGATTAAGTAGGATAAAAGACATTAAATTTATCTAATTATATATGCTGATATCTTAAAATTTAGACGATATATATATATGGCTAGATAAGAATTATTGTACGCCTAGATACTACGATACATACTTTATACTAAAAATTAGAAAAAATGAGTTTTGATTGTAATTTCTTAAAATTTATACAACTAATTTGAGAAATTGGCCATAGCGTATTTGAGTGTATTTCATAGTGACATTTATTTAATTTACTGTAGAGGAAGGTATATCGACTTTAAAGGTACTTTGTAGATCCTAATATATATAGAAAATGAGATTGGCTTAAAGCCAAATTACAGAAGGCTAGAAAAGTAAAAGAAACAAGTTGGTAGTAGCTCAACTCAAAAGTACATGGCATAAAAAGAAGAAAAATAAAAAACATAAAATAATAAAATAAATAAAAAAATAGAAGAGGCAAGTAATAATTATCACTAAACATTTGAAGGTTTGGCGTCGTTGAGAAATGGTTTGTTTCTCATATTATTATCACGAATCGAAGAGGAGGATTGTTAAATATATATATATATGTGGACACATTAATTCAATGGATTTTTTCTTAAAATTTATTGGGAAAAAAAAAAAAAGGCGCATTAGAAGCATCCATTGCTCCAATGGAGTAATTGGTTGTACCTCAATCTTTTTTGGACGTTCTACCTTTGTATCTCTATTGCACGATATACACTTTTCATTGAAAAGGTGATTCAGCTTACAAGGGAAAGCTCGAAATGCGTTTCTGTTTCTTCAAGATGATAGTGCGTTTCTAAATTGAAGCGTGCAAGAATATTTGAACTCTACCATGTAGCTAAAATGCTAAGCTACTGGCTATAACAAAATCAACATTTCTGTTCTTATCTTGAAAAACGATAACGATTGATAGAATTTTGTTTAGTTTGAAATTTAAATGGTTTTGTTTTTATTTGAATTTTTATTTTTTGAATATTTTTTATTGGAAATATATATATATTGATTTTTTTTTTAAAAAAAAAACTTTATGTTATAAGGCTGTTAATTATAAACTTTCGTGCCGATAACAATGAGCTGTGCCCCATTACAAGTGTCACAAAAATGATATAACATGCATGCATGGCAGTACTGCATGCTCATACAACACCTGTTCTCGTAATATCGAATCGGCAGCCTTTTTCTCTTCACAATTCGATGGCTCCAACGTACATAATTTAAATAAAGAAAAGCATTAGTACACACGATAAACTAGTAATTAAATTATAAGTTGAGATATTTTAACCGCTGTATATTTAATTTATTTGGTTATTATATAATAGAGGAAAATTATATAACACAAAACCACAAGTCTTTTTTAATTTAAAAAACTATTAATAAAAATATTGTTTTTTTTTCACCTAATATTTTTTTGGGTGAAGTAGTTCTTTATATGACATTATATATAGAGCTTTTTTTAAGTGCTATTCAGAAAACCTTTATTTTTTTTCACAAATTAATTTGAACACAAATATCATTATAGCTATATCACTAGTCTAATGTTAGATAGTTTAAGAATTTTGATTTTATATATAAAGGACATGTACATAGATTAATCTACAATTAGTATATAAAAAATATCGTTTTATATATATATATATATATTTTTCAACATCTAATATGACTCCATTAATTACACTTATATCGAAATCGAAGTTTAGAATACCTGCAAATTATAAACATAATTAATAGGTAATATAGATATATTATTTTTTTCAGAACACACGCAAATATATATATATATATATATATATATATATATATATATATATATATATATATAACTGTACTAAACTTTAATGTTCAAACTTTTGGATTAGGTTCGGATGTCAAAGAGAAGATTTATTAGATCTAAAATCTAATATATATATATATATATATTAGATTTTAGATCTAATAAATCTTCTCTTTGACATCCAACCTAATCCAAAAGTTTGAACATTAAAGTTTAGTACAATTATTTTTTGATTTTTTTTTTATTCACTGGGAAGTTTATGGACTTTGAACTATACAATAAAGAAAATCTTCTTTTCTTATATAATCAAAAAAATTAAAATTACTAAAATTTTAAACTAACTTCACTAAAAAAAATATCTATTTACAATTGTTAAGTTAAAACTGCTTGTATAGTACAATTTTTTTTTATTATTATTATAGTAGAGAGGTACAAACTTGAGTAATTGACAAGTCAATTAACGGTTGAACATCATTAAATTTGTTTGTTTTTGTTGTTAATTTTGTTCTATAAATGAATAAAAAAAAACAAAAATATACAGAATTAGTTCACATGTTTACGTAACATTAATAAAAATACTATTTTTTTTTCACCTAATATTTTTTGGTGAAGTAGTTCTTTATATGACATTATATAGAGCTGTTTTTTTTTTTTTTTAAAGTACTATTCAGAAAACCTGTATTTTTTTTTTTTTTTACAGATTAATTTGAACACAAAAATATCGGTATAGCTATATAACTTATCTAATGTTATATAGTTTAAGAATTTTGTTTTTATATATAAAGGACATGTACATAGACTAATAACAATCAGTATATAAGAAATATTGTGTTTTTTGTTTTTTGTCCGCATCTAATATGACTCCATTAAGTATATTTATATTGATATCGATGTTTAGAATACCTGCAAATTAAAAAATTAATTAATGGATATTATAAATATATTATTTTTTTCAAGAATTCAATGACAAAACTTATATATATATATATATATATATATATATATATATATATATATATATATATATATATATATATATATATATATATATATATATATATATAAGATTTTAGATCTAATAAATCCTCTCTTTGATATCTAATCAAACCCAAAAGTTCGAACATTAAAGTTTTAGTACACTTATTATTATTATTATTATTATTTGATTCATAGGAAGGTTTGTGGATTTTGAACTACACAATAAAAATAATTTTTTTCTTGTATAATCATTAAAAAAAATTTATAACCACTAAAATTTGAACCTAACTTTACTGGAAAAAAAAAAAAAAAACAATCAATTTGCATGCACAATTGTTAAGTTAAAACTGCTTGTATAGTGCACTATTTTTTTTTGGGTTATAATAGAGAGGTACAAACTTGAGTAATTGACAAGTTAATTAACGGTTGAGCATCATTAAGTTTGTTTGTTTTTATTATTACTTTTGTTCTATAAATGAATAAAACAAAAACAAAAATATACAGAATTAGTTCACATGTTTACATCGTGAAATGAAATTACAAATTAAAGTACGTCCTGCTCTGCAAACCCTAAACTTTGTCCAGCAAAATTTCTGACAATACCGTCACGAAATGACAGAATTAATAATAGATGATGGGCCAAAAGCAAGATCCCATGCCTGTCTGTGAACTCATTATAATTCACTCCTATATTTTCCTACTATTCAAATGACAGAATTTAATGAAAGAAAGGAAAAATAACCCGTAAGAACAAGATATGCAAAAAACAAAAGCAAGGGGCTAAAAAAGAGGGAAATGGACAGACAATATGAAATTGAAGGAAACAAACAGAGGAAGAGCCATATGGAGATCTGTCAGATCAGCGACTAGGATTCTGAAATTAATTAAACAAGTTCACGGATTGAACTGAGCCACAGTCACGGATGGGGCATTGAAGTTTGCAAAGGGCCAACAACGCTCCAAATTCTCCTACTATTTCATTTCACAAAATAAATTTCTTGGATTTCTACGTACATTGTACATGTTTGTGCTTTACTTGCTGCACATGGCTAGTTTCCACTTTCATGTCGTAAAGAAACCACTCACGGGTTGGTCATAAAATTCATCTATATAAACCTGGGATATCACACCCCATCAAAGAAAACCCAATATCAATTAGAAGGGTAACCTTTCAAGGAACCCTGAGTCATGGGTTCTAAGTTTGCATCCATGCTTTTCATCTTCATGATTTTCATGGCAATATCATTGCCACCCATTTATGCTTGCACCCCTTGCACTCAACCACATCCACCATCATACCCGCGCCCTCCAACCCGCCCAACCCGCCCAACCCACCCTACAATTCCACACCCAAAGCCACCAACCACGAAGCACCCACCTCATCACGGAGGACACTCACCTTCCAAGAAACCACCAAAAGTACTTCCACCAATTATAATAAATCCTCCTCCGGTGGTAACACCTCCAGTAATATCACCACCTATAACAAACCCTCCAGTGATAAAACCGCCACCTTCTTCGGGCTACCCTCCTTATCCACCTTCTACTGGTGGCCCTCCATCTGGTGGAGGTGGTGGTGGTGGTGGTGGAGGAGGAGGAGGAGGAGGAGGAGGTGGAGGTGGAGGTGGCGGGGGTGGGGGCACTCCAGGTGTCAATCCTCCACCAACTACTCAACCAACTTGTCCAATCAATGCATTAAAGCTAGGGGCTTGTGTTGATGTACTAGGAGGCCTGGTGCATATTGGATTAGGGAACCCCGTCGAGAATGTTTGCTGTCCCGTGCTTAAAGGATTGCTAGAGCTCGAAGCAGCTATTTGTCTTTGCACTACTATAAGGCTTAAGCTCCTTAACCTCAACATTTTCATTCCTCTAGCTCTTCAAGTGCTAATAACTTGTGGAAGGACCCCCCTCCTGGTTTTGTTTGCCCACCTATTTGAAATTAATGTAGTTGGTCATTATAAAATAAGGACATTTCTAGATCGTGAGGTAAAATGGTCTGGTATTGTTCCACATTTGGGTTTTTGCATGTTAGTTTGTGACTTGATTTAGGGTTTGATTCTTCACTTTGTTTAACGTGGAGTTCCGTTGCATACAGTGAAGGGATGCTTTGGTTGAATTTTAATTAAGTGTAATTCATACATCTCTATGGAAGCACTCTATAAATCAACGAACGAGCAGTCTATTTTTATTTATGTATGTATATGCAGGCGTAGAACCAAAAGTTTAATCAACACGCATATATGGATTTCTTTTCTTCCTAGCATAATTCAAAGACTTCGAGTCTTAGTTGCATATATATAATTTCCATCTTGAATAATTAACTAGGAATATTTATCTGCAATGGTTTTTTTTTCCTTAAAAAGAAATATTTACAAACAAACTTCCCAGTAGTTTGATAAACGTTTTTTATTTCCACGATGGTGTAATATTAAGTTACTTTTTCTTTTTTGATAAATACCTTTTTCATTCTAAAAAATTAAGTTATCCTTTTTTTTTAATTATTATTATTAGCTATTGAAAAAATTTGGACTATTATATATCATGATAAAATAATTGCAAGTTTTGCAAATTTGGCAAGAGATTCCTTGGCCCCAAGCAAGTCTATTTTCGACCATGCATTCCCGTGAATAATGCAAAATAATTGGATCATTCTACCAATATATATATATATATATATATATATATATATACACACCCAGATACCCAAGATTAAGGATATGTAATAAAAAGCAAAAGTAGTAGTAAAAAAAAATACATAAATTAAACAAAATAGTACGTGACATTGTTATACCAAAAATTAAACCTTAAAGGTTTGCTTATTGGTTTCCAACCGATATACCTTAAAATAAAGATATAGAATTAAACAAATAAATAATATGAAATAAGAAATTTGTATTAAAACGAGTTACAAATTACATAAAACAGAAGCAGATATGATGCCTTATGGTTTTGTGGGTTACAAGTAAGGAAATTTATTCTAAGGGATTACATAGAACAAGCTTAAAGAGAGAAAACTATGTTCTGAGTAATTGCCTGAACTAACTTCTGAGTTTTTCAAAGAGAAAAGCCTTCCTTAAATAGATGGAGGATGGTTGGCTTATAGGGGGAAATTGCCTAGAAAGGTGCAAACTTCATTTTGTAGTAGGAAATTGCTTGGAAAGGTGTAATCTTCGTCTTGTAGTGGAAAATTATATGAAAAGGTCTAATCTTCGTTTTGTAATGGGAAATTGCCTGAAAAGGTCCAATCTTTGTCTTATAGTGGGAGATTGTCTGGAAAGGTACAATCTTTGTCTCATAGTGGGGCACTGAAAGTAGGTTTTATATGTATATATATGATACAGATATGAAATTAAATAAATTGAAATATAAAATTGAAAACAAGGGAATAGAATTGGGTGGTAGAGCCAGCCATTGAAACAGGAAATAAAATAAGCAACGGAGCTAGCCACTAATTTGCAGATTAGTACGTAGCGTTGTTTTACCACGGTTAAGCTACGGTAATACTATGTATCGTGAAGGAGCTATGTTATGGTTTCTAGTCGATATACCTTAATATGAAGATACGGAAGACATAAATGAAAGTAAGAAATTTTATTTATTGATAAAATAACTTACATTTTTGGATAAGCAAGAGTAATTTGCTTCGGAGTTTTGAAGATAGTGATACAATCTTAGAGCATTTGAGAGAACAAAATTACGGAGAGAAAAATATTCTTAAACAAATATCTAAAATTTTTTTGCACCCTTGCAAATGAGAAATGAGCTTCCTTTTATAGGAGAAGAAAGTCTGTCTTGAATAGTGAACGAGTGATGAATAGTATCTCACTTGAGTGAATAGTAATGAATAGTGAGATGTCAAAAGTTGTTTTGTCTTGGCATTCACATGGATGAACGGTGATACGTCGAAAGTTGTTTTATCTTGAAATGAGAAATTGTCCGGAAGGTGTAATTTTTGTCTTAGAGTTTATAGGTGGTGAACTAGAGGAAAGATTCCAAAGCGAGTTGTCTTCATTATCATCACCCAAATTTATTATGAGTTCGACTCGAGTCTTCTACTTGGGAGGAATTTGATCTATCTTGCACCATTTCGGACATGATGACAAATTATTCTTCTTCGGATTTTTCTGTCGCTAACTCGGAGCTTATAAAAGCTTTTTGAGCTAGAAAATTTGAAGTGGTAGAACTAGGCTTCATAAGGCCTTGTTTTGTAAGCTATTGTTCTACCGAATCTTTCGACGAAAGGAATGAATTTTAAATAAATCCTACCATTTTACTTTGAATCTTTGTACAAGGATTATAACCTATTCTTAGTAAATAGTATCATAATACCGAGAACAAACCTATGAAAGGAAGAATTTTATAAAAAAAAAAACATGATGTGTAAATCTTTTTTCTTTTTTTTGTAGGTTTATATTGTGTCTTGAATAGAGCAAAACTCTTAGAAACTAAGGGGAAATAATTTACGGGAGAAAGCCAAAATAGTTCCACCATTGAAGGAACCACATGGGAATGTTTATTGAATCAAAGTAGAAAAGCCATGAGTGACTTTTCTTTTTATTTTGGAGGAAGATAGTGTTGAACCATGCCTGCCGATAATCCTAGTAAAGTAGGAGAGGCAATGATTGACACTTGGTTTGAAATTTACTTGGGAAACTAATTTGTTTTGAAAGGTCGTGTCCCCAATCAAGATGATGGGTTATCTTGTGAATTCGGTAAATAGAGCGAGTACGTTTCGGTTTTGTCGGGGGTAAGGAAGTTTTTAAAGGTTACCGATCATGTTTGTTCAAGGATATCCATATAATATGCTTGGTTTTTGAATAAGTCCCATGGCTTGAAATGCCATCCCGGAGGGAAAAACCTTTGAACAATTTTATAGGGATCATCGTAGTAATACCCATCTTCAATGGTAAAAACGTTTTGAAAAGATTTTTTCAAGAAATACTTAGATTCCGATTTTTTTTAAATTTGTTTTGTGCGAAACAATCGATGTTTTGTGAAATAGCATTTTGTGAAAAAAAATTTGAAGAATCATTTGATTCTTGAGAAAGGAGTTTTGATGAGGAAGAACCTTTCTCCGGTTCTAAAGTAGGTCGAGATGTCATACCCGAGACTTGTTGGAGGGCTAGAAGGAGTTCCGGTTGGTTCGTTAAGTTTTGGACCCAATTCTCAATGGACTAGGCTTTGACATGAGTTTTATTTTCCTATTTTGAGGTGGCATCGACCCAAGATAAAATGAATTTTGCTTGTAGAGATAGGTTTTGGGGAGGGGCTTTCTATGTATGGAATAAAGGGTTTTTTCCCTTTATTCTTTCCGGCCATCAAGATCTATTTTGTAGAAACTCTCCGGTTAGGAAATGCTGGAACTAAATTTTGTTCTCTTTTAATAAATTCAATTTCAAAATAAAAAATACTAAGGATTGCTTGGCATCCGGCAAAAATTTGTTTTGATGTAATATTTTGAACATCATTTTGTAAAACTTCTCTTGCGATTTACAATCAATGCGTAAAAGGAATTTCGATTGAGTAAATCACTTTGAAATTTTTGGATGCACATGACAATGCTAAGGACTTCTTTTTTATTGTGGAATAATTCTTTTGACAATCATTCCAAGTGAGCGTAAGTAAATTGAATAATTTTTTCTTGACTCGCGTACACTTGTTTTAGTATTCCACCATAACCTAGACCGGAGGCATCAGCCTCTACAATTTTTGGTAAAGAGGGATCTGCTAAGTGAAGGCAAGGGATTTCTAAGACTCGTTTCTTAATCTGTTGAACTATCCTAGTATGTTCATCGGACTAGGGAATTGATTTTTTCTTTAACCTATCATGCAAGGGTTTTCGAGTACGGTTTATGTTTCGAAAAAAAATCTAGAATATAATTCGGACTTCTTAGAAACCTTTGTAGCCGAGTTTTATCAAGAATCTTATCGGGAAATTTATTTACAAATTCTAAAGATCTCTCTATTGGGGTAATGGTTCCTTGGGTAATGTAGTGACCTAAGAAACGTACCTTGGTTTGAAACAGAGAAATTTTAGGTTTGGAAACTACTAAACCATTTTGTTTTGCAACATAGAAGATTTTTTTCAAATGCTTGAAATGCCGATCAATGAAATTTGAAAATATTAAAACATCATCTATGTAAAAAATGTAGAATTGTGAATATGGATGGAATATATCATTCATAATTCTTTGAAATTCGGAGGGTGCATTTTTGAGACCAAAAGGCATAAAATTCCATTCATACTCGTCCAAACGAGACGGTGAAAGCAATTTTGTATCTATCCTTAGGATGGATTTGGATTTGCTAGAAACCCGACTTTATGTCAAACTTGGAAAACACAAAGGCGGAATTCAATTTTTGTAACAAGTCTTTTTATTAGGAATAGGGTACCTAATCCATTTTAAGTCTTTGATTAAGGGTTTGTAATTGATCATTAGTCTAGGGGTACCTTGTTCTATCTCGGAGTTTTTATTGACATAGAAAGCTATACAAGACTAGGGTGATCGGGATTTTTGGATAAGATCTTTGAATTCTAAATCCCGAATTTCTAACCGACAATGTTCTTTAAGGTCGGCATTCATTTGGATAGGTCTAGCTTTGGTAGGAATCGTTTTTCATCAAAGTCTTTGTCATAGGGTAGGTCAACATTATGCTTTTTCATATTCCAAAAGGCGGTTGGTAAATCAGCACATGATTTCTTTTTCTAACGAGTTTTGAAAATAAAAAATTTTCTTTTTCGGAAAATCATTTTGTAATCGACGTTGGATTTTTTTGTAAAGAAACATCCCGAAGTAAATGCGAGAAGATGTTGTTGTTTTCCAAGCAATCAACGCATTAATCTCAAAATTATAAATAGAGCATGCTTTTATAATATTAAGATTTTTAGTTCTAGGTTTTTCAAGGAAAGGGAAAAACAAGTTTTGTTTTCTTGGTTTTGAAAGAAATGCAATCATCACAAAGCTTATATGATGTAATAAGATTTATAAATGCTCGTTCCTAAAATTACCATATGATGCGTATCTTCAACAAGCAAGAAATGGATTTTT